TTTGTCTGAAGGCACCTGGGACTTTTCCAGTTGACTCTACCCAAGAGGCTTTGAGGAGGCAGCTGACTGGAGTGAGCCACACCACCCTGCAAGGCCTGTTTTCTATTTAGAAAGAATTTTAAGTTAGTTTTGTAAAAATGCATGAGTTACCAAACTGCATGCCTAATTGGATTCTGCCTTTTTAGTCCATGTACATGTGCATATGTGGGTAATGTTGGCGAGGAGGGCCTGGGGTGGGGGGAGCCCAAATGTCATCGCTGTTATCTCAGGCTCCAGTAACTAGTAGGTTTGTGGGTGGTTTGTAATCTCTGATCTCTGCGTGTTCTGTAATGCACGGAGGAGAGGTAACATGCAGGGTCCTCTGGAACGAAGAAGATCGCCTGCCTGTTCATGTGTGAGCTGCTGTTTGCTGTTCAGGTGTGTGGACTGGGCTGGGGAGTGCAGCTCGAAGTCATCTTCTCTGACTCCTCCACCTGACATGTGAGGACACTGAGGCCAGAAGTGAGAAAGGATCTGTCCATGGGGTCCCAGCTATGACTGAGTCAGTGTGTGTGTGTGTGTGTGTGTGTGTGTGTGGGGGGGGGGGGTCTTTTTCACTCTACTCTAGGGACTCTCTTCTGGGGGGGGGGTCATCTCTGGCTTCCGAGTCCAGCACTCTTTCCTCTCCTACTCCAGTGGTGACTTCCATCCTATGCAGCTACCACAGCCCCAGCCAGCTGTAGGCCTCAGTGAGTGTCAGGGGGTTTCAGTTTGGGTTTTGTGTTTTTAGAGAAAACTCACATGAGACGCTTTGCTGAGTGCCTTAATGGAACTCTAAGTCAGAGTTGGAAACCGCAGGGAGAGGCCGATTCCTAGCAATCTGGAAAGGCCTGGCTCCAGATGGCCAGGTTTGAGCAGGTCTTTGAATAATAAAAGTTATAATCATTTATTGAACACCTGCTGTATGCCCACATTGAAATGGGCAAAGCCCTTGCTGTTGAAGTGAAGGGGGGCAGTGTCATGTTAATAGATATGTGTGTGTATGTGGGGGGTCCCTTGGATTGGATTTTGTGAGAAATGATTATTTCTTAAACCTTTTTTCACCCTATAACTCTGGTTGCTGCTGTTCTTTTTTTTTTTTTTTATGATGTTCTGTCCTTTGGAAAGTTTTCATTAGTCACATATTTTTCACTTCATAATCAAAGAATAGCAATAACTGTCATAATTCAGGATACAGATTTAAGCACTGCAGACTACTTAATGCTGCTGCTGGAGGAGGCTTTAATGACAAGTCATCTCCTCGGCTTCCTGCCACCTTAGTCACTGCTAACATGGCCTGCCTCTTACTGATGGGGAGCAGAAGTCCTTGCTCCACCCAGATGTCAGAGAATCACACGATCCACTTACTAGAACCATGGCCACCCAGCCCTGACATTCAACGGACTGTGGACCACCCACCCACCCCCAGTTTCTGGAACCCCTGACTCCTTCCTGATTTCGTGGAAAATGAGATCTTGGAGTGAGCCATGCTCCCAGGTTCAAGTTTTCATTTAAAAGGGTTGTTTTTTTTTAAATTATAAGATATATTTATGTTGTATTCATAACATATAAAGAGCTCTTCTATATCACAAAGGAAAAAAGTCACATACCCAGATAGCAAAGGGCATGAATGTTTTACCATAAAAGTAGATCCACAGATGGCCAGTGTAAACCATTTCAAAAGGAAGTGGTCCAAAGATAAGTCAGATGCCAATCTGTAATTAGTAGGTTAGCAATATGCCGGCTATTTTAATTGATTAAATAATGATACATCTATATTAATAGTTTCAGTTACAAAATCATGTTTTTTTTGGCCACTTAATTGGGGGGTGGTGGTAAGTGCTCATGACATTATTTAACAAATTACAGTGACCAGGTTTTTTTTTTACTTTGCTGTGTTCTAAAATAGGGCAGTGTTTTAAATTAAATGATATATGCTAATTTAAAGAACTGAATTGGTGAAGCTTTCCAGATCTTTCTTTATACACAAAGCATTGCTTCTGAAGGCTGAGGAAGAGTAAGTAGGTCTGGACTCTGAAGAAGGCACATGGAAAAGGGTGTCTTGAGCTGGCTCTCCACAGGTGTTTGTTTCTTCACCTGTAAAGTGGGGGTGCTTGTGTCTGCCTCAGAGGACCATTTTGAGGGTCCAGGGGGAGATGGTGTGAAAGCACCAGCCTTTCCTGAGCCTCAGGCCAGATGGTTTCCACCATCCACACCACCAGGGCTGGGCCTCCACCAGATCCCCGCACCCCTCCGTGGGAGCCACACCCTTCCCATCCTCATCCCAAGAACAAGTCAGCTCCACAAAAGAGGGTTTGGCTTTCCCAAACTGATAGCCGCTCCCACCCACTTTCTAATCATTCTTGGGGAATGATTAGACGGAACTAAATAGCAGAGACCAGATCTTAGGAGGGTGCCTCTGTTTTGGAAAGATGTCGGTTCTCTCTCCTTTAAATTTTTATATATAGGAGTGGGCAAAAGCAGGTTCAAGTATCCACTTTCGTTAGTGGTTGGGTAAATTATCAGCCATCATTAATGAAAAGATAAATCATAAGAAAGGTTACAAAAAAATAACAATAATGATGGTAAGAAGACAATAATACAATAATAAATAATAATATGAGAGCAAACCCTGTGTTTCGTTTGTTCACCCCTGTCTAGAATAACTTTTCTCTTTTGGGAGGGAGATGACTTTTATAAATGATCTGAAGTTTGGAGGGATAAGTAGATAAAAATAAACAAGAAAACTTCTATTAAAGAATTAAAGGAGATAATAAAACACATTGTAAAACCGATAATTTGAATGGACTCTTAGAGACATAGGAGAGAATTCAAATGCTCAGAAATAGCCCTTTGTAAGAATTTTGTCTCTGGTTTAAAATGACTGGGGCAATTGCAATTGACTATTTGAGGAGTAAAGTCATATTCTTTACCAAAGTGATATCCTGAAGGATTAAAGAGTTAAATGTAAAACCAGTCTTTGAAAGAACTGGAAGAAAATATAGGTGGGTGTTTACCTCTCCCCGTTGTTTTTTAAACTTTTCTGCTCCTGCTGCTGAGGAGTCATTGTTGGCTGTACATCACGAAAAGTTGCATTTTCACACTTTTCACAGAATCGCCAACCACAAACAAGCAGTGTAGCTATTGGATAACCTGGCATATTCCCCCAGGCGGCCTTCATCCCAGATAACAGGATTGGGTGGCTTCTTCTTCTTGTGAGTGGGACTGTGGCCTCAAACCTAGGCAGGTGGGAAAGACTAATCTGTAATGTTTGGGATGTTTACAATACATTACAGCAGCCAATGGCTGCATGAATTTTTAAAATATGCAATACCTGACTATTTACTCAGGGCACTGAATTCTTTTCCCTTAGATTGTCAAGTAAAAAAATGACAAAAGCTAACACAACAATAGCCATCAAGTGTGAATGAATCAAAATTGGACCTTTTCTTTGGCCAGTCGCAGAATTTTGGTAATAGTGTCATGAGATGAAAATCGCTGCATTACAGGATGGTTGTCAGAACCTCTTTAATGACAGAGAGGAAGGGTTGCTTTTCTGTTGGCAGAATCATTTTTGAAACATTGGGCCAGAGTGGTCAGCCCAACTCTACCCCATTCTCTTTACTTAGGGTCTGTTAAAATACCTACTGTGTGCCTATACCGAGTCCTCCTTGCTTCCAAATTACTGAGCTTTCCCAGTTTACAAAACACAGCTCACTTAATCCTCTACAACCCTGACGAACAGGAGGGACAGCAGCCACCCCCACTCTTTATAGGAAACTCCTGCAAAAAGGCTAGCTGGCTTGCCCACGCCACCCCTGCTGGTACAGGCTCCAGCACTTGGACCCCAGTGGATTGGTTCCTGGGTCTGCTCACTTTGCTGCATGGAATGTGTTTGTGGGATTCACACATTGCCTCATCCTTCCGTCAGAGTTGGAAGTCAGGAGTTGTCTGATTTCTATTTTCTGGCTGAGGAAAGGGAAGAAGTGACTTCTTCAAGGTGGTGGCAGGCTGCATTTATGAGTGAAAAAGAGGCATTCCTGACCCCCGGGGCTCACTCTTGCCTCAGAACCAGTCAGACCCTTGGGAGATGATTAGTAACTCTGTTCCAGATCCTTGGTCCTGGTGAGGTTTGGGGACCACTGAAGCCTGAGGTGGGCTTCCTACAGGAGGAACACCTGGGAGCTTCAGGATGGGTGGGGAGGAGCAGGGCACAGGCCCAGGCAGGGCGGTCGGGCCTGTGTTGTCCTGAGCAGCCTGCCCTGGCCTGTGCAAGCACGGGGCCAGGCACAGACATGCTGACCACACGAACAGGTGGGACACAGATTGTCTGGAAGGAGGCCAGGCTGAGGCGAGCAGCGTCTGTTCACCCCTGGGAGGCATTTGTTGAGGCAGATGTACCAGGTAAATGCCAGAATAGCAGCCTTTAAAAGGAAAAGTAATGATGCCCCCCACCCTCAAAACACACACACACACACACTGTGCACCTCCTGTCCTACAGCACCAGGACCCTGACAGGACCAAAAACACACCTGCCCTCCCTCAGCCCCTCCAGGGACCTTTCCCAGCTGGGCTGTTTCCTCATTAAGTTGTGGGTATTTATTAGGCTTCTCCTCTGTGCAACATGCCAGCCTCTTAGAGAGGGTACAGACACTTAGGAAGCACTCGCCTGCCCTGAGGAGCTTCGTAAAGTGGGTGAGGCAGGGCCTCCTTGCGTTCATAGCAGCTACAGCATGCTGGCCACCCACTATAGCTCTGCAGTGTGCGTGCAACATGGTGGGCATTCTCCCATTTGAGAGACGAGGAGATGGAGGCTCAGAATTCATCACTTGCCTAGGAAGGGCAGTATTGAGGAGGGTCTGTGGAGGATGTAGGCAGACAAGGAGATGGGAACAATGTCTCTCAGGAGGTGGGGGCAGGAGGTCAGAATTCTCTCGTCATGGGTGCAGCCTCTCTAACTCTTCGCCTTCCTGTCTCCACAGAGTGCAGCAGCAGCCCCAAGCCCGGTGCTTGGCAACATTCCCCCCAATGATGGGATGCCTGGAGGCCCCATCCCACCGGGTTTCTTTCAGGTATGTGCTGGGCCCTGGGTTGGTCCTGTGCTCCTTTCACTCCAAGCCAGTCTCCGGCGGGAGGGAGGGAGGGAGAGAGAGAGGAGTAAGTAGTAGCTCAGTTTGCCATGGTCTAAATACCGTTGCTTTATGCTGGTTCGAGCCCTTCCCTTCCCATCCCTTTCTCCACCCCTTCCAAAAACCAAGGAGGGGAGAAAAGAGATGGAGAGCAGACTCCTCCTGCCTGTGCTGGAGTTTGTTTTCTTCACGCCCGCTTCACAGTCAGGCACAGCCGCCCCTGGTCAGGCAGGCGGCCGGCTGCTTCCAAGCCCACGTGGAGCTGTCTTTTCACAAAGGCGTTCTTTTTCTTAAACTAGTAAACCGTTCTTTGTTTCTGTTTTGTTGCTGCTGTCGTTGTCATTGTTTACTTTGCCTGTCCAAACTACAAACCTTAGGCGTAATGTAAAAAAACAAAAACCCACCATCCTGGCAGGTCTCAGAGTCCTTTCCCTCTGGTTAACCACTTGATTTTTTCCGAGTGCGATCACAGACGGCACCCCACGAGCATCTGTGCCCGCACTCGGCCCGCCAGAGGCAGGAGCAGATCCCACGTCGGTCGAGAGTCTGGCCTTTTCCAAAAGACACCTTGTTGGGCTCTCAAGGGCTCTATGTTGTCAGGATTGGGTGTGGCTGCCACCTCCTTTGTGCCTCCTCCTCCTCCTCTTCTGCCTCCTCCTCCTCCTCTTCGTCCTCCTCCTCCTGTGCACTCCCCTTTGAGGGGCTCATTCCATTTAAACCAGATTGAGACCAGGAAGTACTGTCTTGGAGAGGTGTCGGCATGCAGGGCTGGAAGGAACTTTTATGATGAAGCTCTTGAGTGTAGCATCCCATTCTTTCAAACCTGTCTGTGGCTGGGCTTGAGAACCTGCCCGAGTTCCCCGGGCCTTTGCAAGGTGAGCGCTTCCAGATAAGAATACGGAAGAAGCACTTGTGTGGAAAAGAAGGCAAAGATTTTCCTGTGGAGCCCACGAATTCTCCACTGTGCCCAGTGAGGCAGAGTCCAAGGACACTGGTGCTCAGTGGAAGCCAGAATGTCACACCATGTGCCCAGCAGTGAGTCGCGGGCTGCAGGAGGCAGGAGCTCCCTGGCCCTGGAGTATCCAAGCAAACATGGGGTGGATACCTCTTAGGGATGTAAAGGATAGGATTTGATCTAGAAGACACTTTTGCTTTGCAAGATTTCACTTTTTGATGGATGTTAACTTCCAGGACAGGAGGGTTAGGACACACTGCTCCACCAGACAAGAAGGGAGGCACTGAAATATGGATGTTACCTGAAAACAAATAGCATATGGCCCACCAAGGTGGTGGTCAGGGGAGTGAGAGGGAATAGGGATGGTGGTTCAAGGCAGTGGGTGGCCACCCATGGTGTATGCATTCCTAGCATGCTGCCCAAACTGGGATCTTGTCCCAGGGGTAGAAGTGGGTATGGCCTCAGAACTCAGTGTGTAGGCTCCAGGTTGGACTAGACCGGGCATGGCCTGGGGCTCAGCTTGTGGTAAGGCCACAGGCATTGGGAAGAGGGGCCAGACTTCAAAGAGAGTGAAACGTTAAAAATCCTTGGAAACCCGTGGGTCCAAGGAAGACAGGAACCAGGTAGGCTCTCCCTTTCTCCCAGAGGGAAATCCAAGGGCTGTGATCATCCATACCACGGGATGGTCATCCATACCACGGGACAGCCGTCTTCTGGCCCCTGCACCCAGGGCATTCCGCACCCAGCTGGTGGCCTTGCCCACAGGTGTTTTGTCTGGGGGCTTCTTTCTCAGGATGCCATGATGCCCTTGATCGAATGCAGATGTGGCTTTCCTGCCTAGTGGGCCGAGCCCACCCAGGGACCAGGCTCCACCTGTGTGCATCCCTGTTGAGGCTGGCTGTCATCTGGGTGCCAGTGCAGATGGTGGGAAGAGGTGGGCAATAGCTGTATTTTTAAAAATAGGCCATTAACTTCTATTTTGGCCTGAGTCTGGGGCAAAGCGAGGTCTGCCTGATATGTGGGTAGCTCCCTGCTTCCTGCTTTGGTATAATTGCCCATGGTTAAGGCTTAATTCCAGACATACTTCTTGGGCCCTCCCCTGTGACGTTCAGGGGTGTGTGGTCAGAAAGTCCAGACTGATTCCTGTCCTTATTTAGCTGCCACCAGCCACCATCACACAGGGGTGGCTTTTGGACCCTCTTGACTTGAGGTATTGTCTGATCCGCTGTCAGGCTAAACAGTCAAGAGCTGCCTGAACCATTGAGCAAAGCTGGGTGCCCTGGCCCCTCTGCTTCCTGGGGAACTTTGACCAACACCCCACCCATCCGAGGGCATCATTTCCCCATCAGTCAAATGAAGGTGGATGGGGTCCTTCCTGGCCATGATGCTGAACCCCTCGGGCTGGGTCACTGCTAAGGGGAAAGGGTATCATTCTGGCAGGAGTTAGCAGCCTCCCATTTCCGGAGCAGGCCAGCTCACAACAGGAATATTAGTTATTGATTGCCGGCCCTGCCCCTCACTCATCTCGCAGGCGGCCACTCTGATATTAGAAGGGAAGTAGAGATGGTATCCAGGGTTTTATCTGCAGCCAACAATTGCACTTCTTCCCCCGCTTGGCCACGGCCTGGGCAGGCAGCTCTGCTGTAGCAGGGTCTTTGCACTGAGGAGCAGCCTGGGTTGGCTGATGCAGCTTTGGCCAGACCCTGTCCCAAAGTGGCCAGCCCAGTTTTCAGGTCAGCACTCCACCCCCAGTTGGTGCTAAATTTAGAAGCCTGCCAGGGTGGTGGGTGGGAGGGAGCAGCTGTCCATCGTGCGCCACACCCCTATCCCCCACCCCCACCCCATTCTGGCTCCTCGGGGAGCAACAAATGGGACTGACTCCCTTCCTTGGGCCTCTGACTGCCAGGCTGTGAGGCTGCTCCTGGGGTCAGAAGGTCTGGCCTCCGTCTGTTTACTCTTTCTTACGTGATGTTCGGTTTCCGAGGTGGACAGTGCCTGCCTGGTTCCTGTGCATGAGATTGTGTCTAGTAGCAGCAGGTTGAGGGCTGACAGGGAGGTGGCTTGGGACCCAACCATATTCACTATTGGGGAATATTGTGGGGTTCTCGGGTCATGGTAGAACTTAGCAAGGCCATTCTAATTCTGTGTATTCGGTGTAGAAAGATTGCCTCAATCTTGGCATCCCAGCACCTGGTGTCCACTAGGGCCCCAGGAAATGTTTGAACTGAGTTTATTTGTGTTGCTCACATTACCAGGAGTGGAGCCAAACCAGCCCCAAAGCTCTAGATCTGGCATTCTGACCAGGCTTGGAGGTCAAGGGTGGGGTTCCGGAGTGGGGAGGGGAACAGAGCTGGAGCCTAAGGCCCCTGTGTTAATGCCCCACCTCCTCTCACATGCTTGCTGAGTGACTTTAGGCACGTTGCTTCCCATCTCTGGGCGCAGTTTCCTCACCAGTAGATGAAGCCAGGTAGACCAGATGGTCTCTGAGGGCCCTTCCAACTTGGATTTTCTGCTTTGGCTCCAGATGGATTTTACATAATCAAGCAGCGGCATTTTTTTTTTCATGCAGCTTAAGTCAGTTGGGCTGCACATCTGGCAAGCTCGGCTTGGCTTTGACCAGGCCCACTGGTCTGGGTGGGTCCCCAGCGCCCTTGGCCCTAAGGTGGCTCTAAGAGAGGCGCTGCCCAATGAGGATGTCTAGGCCCAGAGCTGGGGAATTACAGGAGGGCAGGGGTCATGGAGAAGGGAGTACTGGGTACAGGCTGTTTTTGTTCTTGTTTTGTTTTAAATTCCAATAATTGTTTTCAGTTATGTAGTGTTTTTAGACATGCAACTTACTTTCATTTTGATCACAGTTGTTTTTGCAGAGGAGGCATGGCTGATTGGGAACTGCCCAAAGTTATCAACCCAGGGCTGTAATGGGAGTCTAAACCCCAGCTTCCTGGGTCCCGCTCCTAGTGCCCCAAGTGTCAATATCTGCAAGTACCTCCCAGACTAGAGGAAGAAGAGACTAGAGAAAAAGATGGGGAGAATGGAAGGAGATGGAATCTCTAGCCATCTTCTCTTGAAAGTAGCCAGTGTTTCCATTCAGATGCCAGCTGTGATTGGTTGGTGGTAGCTGCTGCTTAGAACATTGTGTTGAGAATGATTCTGAAGCTGTGTCCAGGCCTAATGGATACCCACTGGCCAGGTTCACCATGAGCAGGGTCGTAACCGAGCAGGGACTAGATGCCTGGCAGAGAGCCTGGGGGACTGTGAGCCTTGGAGTGGGGTGCAGTGTTTCCAGGGAGGGTCAAAGCCCAGTAAATGAGAGCATGCCCGTGCAGCAGCTCGGCGGGTCCTAAGAGCCTGGCCGAGGACTGTCCATTTCCTGCCGTCCCCTCCAGCGGAAGCAGGCAGCCGAAGCCGAGTGCACTGACATTCCTTCTGCCAGAAAGCCAGCAACAGGAAGGACTTCTCTGCGCTGGCCAGGGCCAGTGTGGGACTCGGGAGCCTTGGGGAGAATTAAACCACCTTGTTTTTGAGGTTTTCAAAGCCTGCTGTTAGGGAGGATTTGATGATTGGGGACCCGGATCCCCATTTGATAAACTGTGAGATCTGGCCAGGCTGGTTGATTAGCCCTTAGCCCAGGTGTGGTCTCTAAGGACACTGACCTCCTGGTCACCCAGCCCTGGGGAGCACTGCACACTGAGGAAGCAGACACAGATCTCACCGTCTGGTGGGGGAGACGGGCAGAAACTACATGGAGGATCCGCGCCATGGGGCAGGCAAAAGGAGCAGCCAGCTTGGCCTGGGGGCTGTCTGGTAAGGCTGCCCCCAGGGGCTGATATTTGAGCTGAGGCCCTAGCAGGAGGCAGTTGGGGGCAGGCAGCCGGACGCCAGGATGGGATGTAAAAGGGTGAGCTTGGGATGGCAGGAGGCCTGGGTGGCTGGGCTGGGTGTGGGAGGGCAGATCCGGGAGAGCCCTGAACTAGACTTACAAAGGACT